GAAAATATATAGCTAAAATTAATATATAAGTTTTTATTAAAAAAATTAAACTTTTTAATAAAAACACAGACAAATTTACCTGTGTTACAATTTAAGGGATAATATAATAAATTTACCCAAAAGTACTTTCAATAGGTAATATTATCTGGTTAATATAGAGTGTTATATATGTAAATCTTACTATTGTATCCTTTTGAGATTCGATATTAGATTCATTCATATCTTGACCTATTAAGCAATAAAACAATTAAATTTGGATTGGAGTATAATTATCTAGACAGTATTTTAAATACATGGTGTTGGCATAGTCCATGACTTGGTAGGTACTGTATGTTCTAATAGCATTGGCTCTGGCTTTCTAAAAACATGATTCTTTGTAATTTTCATGATTTGCTCAGGCTTATATTTTTTTCATAATCCTAATCCTGGTAACGATCTAGCAAAAATACATTCTACATTCTCTCCTTCATCTAGCCAAGTCTATTTGTGCTAGTTAGAAATTCCATGTATTGTTCCCAGTTTTTTATTTGCTTTATTTAGTTTAGTTTAATTAATACTTGTACCTGTTATTAAAATTAGAAGCAAAAATGCACAAACCTTCACGATTAGGCATAATATTAGCAACATGAGTGCCTGCCAAGTCTTTTATTGCCTCTTGTATTTCCTCACCCAATTCAATGTCGTGATCTATTTTTATCTATCGTTTTATAGCATGGGTTAACTGATCAAATAGTAATAATTGGTTAGGGTCAAGGTGTTAGTAATAGTTATATTCTGGTAATCGGGTATAAGCAGAAATGAAATTTCTGTGTATAACTGATTTATACCCTGCAACCTGATCTGATCAGGGTATAAATGAAATAACATTCCCAAGTTACTTCTGACTGAACATAGTTTAAGTTAGAGTAAACTTGAAACAACTTAAAGCGAGATTAATTTAATATAGTAGGTTAAAAGTTGGATCAACCAACCAATCTATTAACCACCCAACTAATTACAAAGATAAATACCTGGGCATGATGCGAATCAATTGCCGTTTTCACCTTACCAGCTTCAAGAAAAATCCATTTACGCACTGAAATACCATACCACTTTTTCCAATAAGACAATATTATCATTAATTCTGTATTGTGATGATGTGGTCCATTATCGGAAAAAATACTAATCCATTTTGGTTTTATTTCAATTGTTTCTAATACACCATGAAGCGAAGACGCTATAAACCAGGCATCTTGTTTACTATCATTACTCCAATAATTAAATGCGTGAATATTAATTTTATTATTATCAGGATCCTTTATGTACATTAAAACTGAATGAAGTGACCATCTGTGCTTGCCAAAAAATTCAGCCTTAGTTTCTCTAGATTTTTGACACAAGATTTTCATCTTGTAGTCAACAATGATCAATGTACTATCTGAATCAAGTTGTGCAAGATTAGCACTTAGTTAAGCATTAAGATATGTTTTCCTTGCAAAATATACAAGCTTAGTTTGATACTCATTTAAAAGTTCGTGAATTTCAAGGGCATGTTGGTTTTTATTTCATCAAAAAAAGCAAATAGTTTTTCGCAATCCTCACAGATTTCTAAGTAAACTAAATTACAATCTCTAAATGCATGTCGTAGACAATGACTTATACAAGAGTTATGAACAGCTTGGCCTAATGGATTAACAGTAAGGTTCATAGAATAATCTTTTCGCAAATATCATTTTAGAGTTTGAGCTTGTGCACTCAGATTTTCCTATATTTATAATTTTACATAGTATTGAATACACGGTTAATATTAGAATATATATATATATATATATATATACGTGCATATATACAGTGTCGCCAAATTGATATAAAGAATTATTCGTGGTTATTATATAATTTTATATTGTGAAAAATATTATAATTATATAATAATTATGAAGAATCTTCGTGACAATAACAAAAAATTTAGCAATCGAAGTGCTATATACAAGGTTAGTAACTAAAACTATAATTAATTTTGTTATTGATTATGGATTATTAACTAACAAAATTGGTTCTTGTTACTTATAACATGATTGGCGCTATTTATAGTATCCTTATTTGAAACCTCTGGCTAACTCAAATAATATGTAAATACTACATAGCATTTACAATAGAATATTCTATATACATATATGATATAAAAAGGTATGTATATTACTACGTACGGGATATTGTAAATAGCGCCATATAATGAAATATAATATGCAAATCTTGTGTATATTACAGAAATAGTTATATTTACAGTATATATTCAATACGAAAAACTTTATGATACGTATAAGTAGCACTATATATATATATATATACAAATACGCATATATTATAATATACAAGTCACTCATATAGAGAAGACTAAATTCAAGGTTAGTTTATATATAATTCTCTCAATATAGTGTATTTGCTAATAAAACATTCAATATAGTGAATTTCTAAAAATTTTTATTAACGAAACTGATCATTTTATTATAACAGAAGTGACCTGTATATATTGTTACAGAGTAAAGCCTTCTTAATTTACTCTATAACGACGACACGGCACAGGGAATCCTTTCGTAGGTA